ACACAAATTTGATGTTTGTTTAAACAAATTAACACATGGTCTCAAATGTATCTTAACATACAGATGATGCCGGTTATTTAAATGTGTATTTTTTTGAAATGTATTTCAATATACAGCGTTTGGAATTGCCATTGTATTAACTCTTTATAGTCTTGTTAGACTCCATAAAATATCTATTGTTGATGATCAGCAGAAATGGTTTAAAAGAAAGATTGACAAAAATTTTAGGTTTATGGATTTATTGGAAATATATATGTGGGCAGGCCATAGAACAACAGTAAGGATTCTAAAATAATGAAATCGAATTATCAGCTTTTTTGGGGATTTAGGTTTATAATATCAAAGACTAGGACAGGCCTATCTCCTAAATAGAAAAAGGTACCTAATATATGGAATCTACTTCAGATTTTAAAATGACAAGTTAAAAAGTATCAGTAGGGTCTGCCGACAGATGTATACCCGCAGCCAATGTTCGATGTACAGGGTGAGATGAAAAAACAACAACCAACTTCAGACTGCTGTCATTTCTAAGCCACTCGTACGACAGCTGTTAAAATTATTCCAGTGACAAGCGTACGAAAGCATTTTGGTGAGAATTTTCCAGAAAAAAAGTTATTCGTGATGGAATTCAAGCGTGATACTGTGATTTCTTTATATTGGGCTGGAAAACCACAAGTGGCTATCGTTAGAGCAATCCAGCATTTTAAATATTAACAAATGTGCCCGGGATAAAGCCATTAAAATTCCAAAAAGTGCAAGAACTTAAACTGCAAACGAAAGAAAATAGACTCAAAAGAGTTAAAGAGTTGCTTGAATTTGGTTTTCTCCGATGAGAAAACATTCGTTGTCCTGCAGTTTGTAAACAAACAAAGTGATCGTGTTTTCTTGCCACAGAGGTCAGCTGAAAATGTGCATCTTCGGTTGGCCACCAGAACTCAAGCGCCGGCCACGGTGATGGTGTGGCCCGCCATAACAGGTCGTATTAATCGACCGTGGCATCAGATTAAATGCCGAATATATTCACGAAAATATTCTGGAGGGTGTATTAAAGCCTTGGGCAGGCAAACATTTTGGCCGCAGACCTTGGACATTCCAACAGGACTCAGCACGCGTCACCCAAGAATGTTTACAAAATGAGATTCCTCGCTTCATTTCCACCAAAATCTCCGGATACAAATCCGTTGGACTATTGTGTCTGGATTATTTTGGAAAAGAAGGTTAGTAATAAAAAAATACCAAAGTTTCGATCACCTCAAGCAAACGCTTCCCCGGGAATGTGCCAAATACCGCAGAGCAACATTCAGGCAGCGTGTGACGGTTTCATTGGCCTTTTGAAGGTCATGATTCGTGCCAAAGTTGACCAATTCGAACAAATCTAAACTTATTCTAAAATTTGATGCTATTTCCGACATTTTTTTTGCTTTCATTCAATAAAATTAAAAAACATATAAAAATTGGCAGAAAGCGGGCACACTTAGAAACAAAAATTGTAATCAGCTGGTATGTCTACCTTTCATTTTTATTCTACCATGTCCTCACCTAAGATATATTGTTTAAAAGTTCAACAAATACGTACATACAAGAATTTGGTCTGTAATGCAATTCCGTAACTTCAACTTATAATTTCAAATATTAAAATACAAATATATACACTAAGATATAAAAGAAGATAGTAGCTAAGACCTTCGTATAGAGTCGATTGCGTTAATTATATCGGCAAACGCAAAAATAGTTTCATCATTACAATGCTGGTAGTTTTTTTTTAACAAATAAAAACAAAACTAAATTCCACAACATACTTTCAGGCTCATAATAAAGTGACAGAAAACAAATAGGTCAATTTAACTTTTGAAATTACAAATTCTTGGTTGCCACAAAAATTCAAGTGGATTTTTATAAGAAACCTTAGAAGTCTTAAGGGCTAAGTACATAAGAAGCTTGAAGTCATGGCTAGGCATATTAATGTCAAATTATAATGGAAAACGACGGCTGGATTTTAGTGACGCTCTGTAATCCCTTTGTGAAATGTCACAAAATATGCCTAGCCATGACTTCAAGCTTCTTATGTACTTAGCCCTTTAGAGGAAATAGACAAACAAATGCATCTGTGAAATAAAAAGCTACTTATTCGGTAATCCCAGCACAGAGATATTTGAAATTTTAAGAAACTATGGAATTAATTAATTTATTTTTTAAATTACCTTTCCAAAAACATACCAAACGCAGATTTATTCATGAGAGAGACAATTAAAAAAAAAAAACACTTTTTTAAGAACCGTAATCAATTAAATATGAATAATTAAGATTTTTTTCAGACAAGAAAATATTTTTTTCATTAGTAATTAGACATGCTTATTGAATTAGCCAATGAAGTTATAAAATGAAACTACCACAGTAATTCGGAATTTATGTGGTTGTGATCTAAATCAATACCAATTGCATTTTGCTATTAAAAGAATATTCCAACAATTATTTTCAGATAAGACAAGCCGTCTCTGATAGCCAAAATTGTCAAACGCAATCACAGTGATTGATTAGTAGATTTTTCGGGCAAAAATAACATTCTAATGATACCACCGGCAAAATATTGCCCTTTGGTTTTATGTCAAAATTGAGTTGCATAAACTTTAATAAATACAATTTATTGGTTGATTTGTTTTGCGTTTTATTATTCAAAAAGTGTCATTCACATTAGCGACATTAGATAATTGTAGAAATTGTTGTCATATCAATGCATCGCGTGACCATGCTCACCAATACTCTAAACAATGATAAATATACGCTCAGCAAACACAATTTATCGCTTGTTATTTGCAATAATTTGTGCAAGTATCTTACAATCAGGTACATATTTATCGTACCGTCTCATAAATATTCAAAACTTATTTGCTGTGACAAATAATTATGGTTATGACTTACATATAGATGTACAGTGGAACTTAGAAAAATGACTATGCGTTTAAATGGGGTTTTATGCCAATAGCTATAGGTACAAAGAAATTATATAATTTTATTAGATAATATAAAATTTTGATAAGGCAAAAACTTTTGAACTCCTCAATGGGATGTATTTAGGAATATTTAGTTACAAGGTTTATGACTTGAACAATTTTATTGGAAAGTTTGTTCAGCACAATTTTGTAATTGTAAATTTCAACACAATTTTAAGACATTTTGTAGAAACTCACTTCAATTTCTCAATCGGCAAGTTTTTACTGGATGTTGTATTAATTTTTTTAAGAATTATCTTAGTCATTGTCTCTTTATGACGATACGGAAATTAATGCAAAGGAAAAAAAATAGTAAATAATAAATAGTATCGGTCGAATTTGCCGTATGGAGTCGGATGTTAATTTCGTGTTTTATGAGCTTCATGGATATTCAAAATGTTGATCCTTTGTGGGGAAGAAATCCGAAGGAGTTGGTCGATATATCCCATTTTCACACCAGACCTAGGGTTAATAGAAATATTGTGATTTGTGTAATTTGAAGACAATCGAACACATACACCTCATTTTATAACTGTTATAATTATTCAAAATGTTGACCCTTTGTGGGGAAGGTACTTGATGGAGTGGCCCGATATTGTCCATTTTTGCACCTGACCTGGCACTGATGCAAATATTAGGATTTGCAAAGTTGAAGCAAAATCGGATTGTCCTTTCTTTCTGTGCAGTAAATTATTTTCTTTAAAGATGTTAACATTTTGTGTGGGAGGTACCAGAATTAGTGGACCGATACTACCCATCTCCGAACCCGATCTAAGTTTGACAATAATTTTACGATGTGCCAAGTTTGGATCAAATCGGATACTCCCTTCCCGCTAGCCAGACAGACGGACGGACGGACATCGCTAGATCGACTCCAAAGGTCCTGAAATGGATTTGGTCCAAAGAGACCTAGGGTCTAAGACCATTATTTCGATGAGGCACGTTGGCCGTATAAATGATATATAAGCTCTCTAGCCGTATGGCGGAGGTTAAAAAATATATAAAATTGTTTCTTCCTTACTAAGTAACTATCATTTTATTATTAATAAAAAGTTATATTCTACAATGTATTCGTTGAGAAATTTTTCAGAATCCTAGAATATATTTTAAATATATGTGTAAAACTAGTGAAAATAAGTTTGAATAATATATTCCAAGATGAAACCATCGACAATTAATGACAATAATACGCATATCAGCAAACCGGCAATAGTTTTTTTCTAAATCTAGATTAATGTAGTTATATGGGTTCATATTTCTCGACGACCTCAATGCCCATCCTTTTGGATATTATATGCTTGTTTTCTTGGCCATATTTTGGATGAAGATAATGACATATTCATCTCAACGGTTTTTATCCGAATGAGACCATAATATATTTTTCTTAACAATCACATTTTAATTTCATTAAATTTCACCCTTAATGCCGTTTACCCTTCTATAGATTTAAGCAATTTTACCGCTCTTTTAAATTATCTCATTTTTTAGTTCTTCAATTCTTATTGCAAACTGGCAAAATTATAAAATATCTAAATACAATTGCATCCATTGTTTCCGAAGAAAATACTACTTTAAATGTTAACACTGAAAACAAAATACAGACATTGCAATCTATCAGGGTCAATGTGAAATGAAAATGAACTTGATTTTGTAATACAAGAAAAAAATCAGGTCAAGGACGGCGGCAATACTAAGTAAAACAGAACAATCAGCAAAATAATATAATAGAATCTTCTCACTGAACGCTGCGCAAATTTCATGAGCTATAAATATTTTGCAGGAGGGGGGATATTGGGAGAAAAATAGGGTGTTAGTAAAAAAGGAAAGGATTAAGCATGGTAAATTCAATTTAATTTTGTAAAAATTAATTTCAATTTAAGATAATCAACTCAAATATTTGGAATAAAGTATTTGGTCCGTTTCTCAATTGGTCAACTAGGAAGCTGATTGTCCAAAACTTTTTATAAACTTCCCACATTGTCATCAAAGGTTGGGAAATCTATTACTCACCATGATGATTAAAATAAATTTATATGATTTTGGTTTAAATTGACAATAGAATTATTTAATCAACAGAGATTTCTGCTAGACACTCTGCTTCTGTAAATTGCTTGCTGGTTATTAACAACTTTGTTCCCGTTTGAACAATTGAAATTTATTTATTTTTGAATTTATCGTACCACACACACGGACGTTATGATACGTTTCGTTCAACACTGACTGCTATCGCGCAAATACCGACCGTGCCGTCCGTTGTTGAATGTGAACTAATAATGAAGAAGGGAAAACAATCTGCTCGCACTACTTTTTCCCGTTACTTAGTTAGGAAATTTTCTGATGATTTTCCTTCATTGAGTGGCGTACAGCTACTGAGTGTTGTTTTGTTGGTCAGATGTGATTTTCCCTAGCACATACGTACGTACATACCTTTAGTGTTGAGCATTTTCCACTTGTCATCGCACTCATTTTTCACGCTGAAGTTATTGTTGTTTTTATTTGTATTCTAGCTCAAGGGAATAGAAAAACAAAAAAAATTTTAATTTTCTTTGAGTAAAAATGTTTTTATTAGTTTATAAATTATTTTTACATTTGTTTGTGGGTGAGATGTTTGTTTTGGCATATTACTCAAAGAGTAGCATGCTTTTGTTTTCAAAAACAATGTGAGAGGAAAAACATTTTGAGCAAATGTCATTGTTTGAAATGTTCTAAGGGTTACCATTCCACATACAAAAAAGAGTTAGATTTGATTTTTTACTGTACTTGATGAAAACTTAAATTAATGGTAAAATTAAGAATGTAAAGTGCAGTCATATACAATTTTTCTTTTTCAAAACAATTCATTTGACAACATCTCATTGTAAATTTTATATTTACAAATCCATTGTATACACACAAATCAGAGATGGGAACTTGTTTTTATGCAGTGAAATTTTACAAGGTAAATTACAAAAGATACAGAGTTGGGAATTCTTATTTGAAATGACTTAAGCTTTTTAATTTTGCCATGCTTAAATTATTCCCGTGCCGCCATTACAAGGATGATATGCCAAATGTATTTTGAATTGGAACAATTTTGCGAGAGCTGATTTTCTCAGCAATGACCCATGGTACAATAAAGACAGGTAAGGCGAGGCATTTACCTGTATATTTTTTTCTTTTGGAAGTCTTGTAATGTCAAAACATGCTTAGAGTTTTTCCCTGTGTGTGTATTGTTTTGAATGACAGACAAAAAAAATTACATAGTTCTCAAATTCTGTTGAAATTTAAATTCATTTTACAGCTTTTCTGAATAACAAATGTTTCCATTTTGGGATGATAAATAATGGGAATTGTAGTAAGAAATCCACGACCTTCGATTCGGGTTTCTTTTTATAAATACATGGGAAGAAAAGTGTCAAATAAAAGAAAAAGAAGTAAAAACGCAGCTAAGTTCGGCTGGGCCGCGCTTTTAATACTCTCCGCCATTTGGAAGGAACTTGAAAATTTTTTCAAAAAAATTCCGAAAGCTACCACTTAAATGAAAACCAGACTATACGAAGTCGTGGACCTGTATACGAATTTATTTTGCCATAGGTTGTTGTACCCATTACGATCTTCAAATAAGAAATTTGAAACGATCACGTGAATAATGTTGAGGAAATAATTAAAATGCCGAATATCGGGAGGTACGTTAATGGGGGACGTGGACCTGCATAGAACATTTTTAGTCATAGGATGTAGTACACATTACGAACTTTTAATACAAAATTTGTAACAATTCCGGTGAATAATGTTCCAAAAATCATGAAAATACCGAATATCAGGAGGTGACGTTATATGGGGCTAAAGGAAAACGTGGACCGGCACGGCCCATTTACGAACTTAACCTGCATAGTGGGAAAATATGCATGCATGCAAAATTTTAGCTATCTCAATTCGTTCGAAAGATATCGTGATTACGACAGACGGACATCGCTACATAGTCTTAGAATTTTACGCTGATCCAGAATATAAATACTTTGTAGGGTCTATCATGAATATTTCGAGGAGTCCCAACGAAATGACAAAACTAATATACCCCCCCCATAGAATGGTGGGGGTATAACAACAACTTTTTGCATTGGTTATTGTTAAATTTGAAGCTACCGGACTCTAGCTACAGAGTTATGTGTTTCGAATTTAATTCTTCTTCCCTACTTTACAATTATTATACATCGCTAAGAAAATTATTGCAAAAATTATTTTGACCAAAGTTGTACATGTAAGAATTAGTAGTGAGAGATATCTTATGTCACATTGTAAATACACCTTCTGGATTTAAAAATACTTTAAATCTGTGCATATTTAATCTACGGAAAGATACTTTCCCTTTATAAAGCTCAATATGAGGTTCATTGTTTTAATGTGCATCATTGTATTTATTTCAAATAAGTATTGTAGCATTTTCCTCTCACCCAGTGTTATTGACTTTGAAAATTGTCATCTGTATTAACCGGAAATTCCATATAATGTAAGCAAAAATGTACTCGTTTACTGGCCGTTGGTTCCTCAATGAAAAAATAAACAACAACGGGGCTGGTTTGAAATAACCTGCACGCACATGTAGACATGAATTATACGTTTAATAAATAAATATGCTAAAAATAACGAATTATACGTTTATATATTATTCATTTTAAACATTTTAGCAAACAATACATGATGGGAAGAAAAGCGTCTCAGTGGCCAGCCAATGTTTAATGTAGCTACGTTTTGGGAAAATTAAAAAACTGAAAATATTTTTAGCTAAACTGGGCGCGGCAGATAATGAAGAAAATTTAACCAACTGCGTCTACGCACAGTTGGAATGAAATAATTTGTAAATAAAATTAATTTAATTAATGCCTCAATCGAATTGAATAGTAAACAAAGTTATTATATGTTAAACATTTTCCTAAGGAACAAATAATAAAAAAGAAGGCTTACACGGGCTAATGACACCCTACTATCTTTGATCACAAAAACATTTGTCTTGTAAATTAGGAATAGTAGCCATAGTTTTCGGTCACAATTTCATTCTACATATGTATAAATATGTATAGATAATTATGTATAAATAATTGAGGATTGAATTGAATTTAGTAATAAATTATTTGGCGAAAGACAAGCAAAACTACCCTTCAATTCAGATTATTAAATTTGCAATTTTTACAACCAATCTCGCTCTAATTAATCGACCGTGGCATCAGAATAAATGCCGAATATTATCACGAAAATATTGAGGAGGGTGTATTAAAGCCTTGGGTATGCAAACAGGACTCGGCACCATCCCATTCAACACGGGCCACCCAAGAATGGCTACAAAATGAGGTTCCTAGCTTAATTTCCATCGCACAATGGCCACCAAAATCTACGGTTATTAATCCGTTGGACTATTGTTTCTGGAGTATTTTGGAAAGCAAGATTGGCACTAGAAGATACCAAAGTGTAGATCACCTCAAGCAAGCGTTTCGCCGGGAATGGGCCAAAATGCCGCAGAGCAACATTTTGACAGTATGTGACGGTTTCATTGGCCGTTGGAAGTCCTGACTGCCAGTCTTAAGAAATATATTAACATAATTAGAGTAAATACACATTGAACATTGCCTACAACAAAAATGGTCGAAATAATACACATAACAAATTTACCCAATAAACAATCAAAAGATATTAATTACACTATCGTAAGAAAATTATGAACCCTATGGATGATGTGATATATTATTAAATTGTTTAAGATAAACAAACAATTGTTTAGATTCCAATTTTGAATATACAAAGAAATACACCCAGCGTGTTGAAAACTGTATGTCTCCGTTCAATTTTGTATTGTGTTCTTATTATAGATTTAACAAATTTTAAAAGGAAATTGTTTTTTTGCTAATCATGATGGTATAGCATCAACTGAAATGGTATAAAAATGCCTGAATTTGTTTGGAATCATTGACCGTCACCATTAGCAATGGAACAGGATTAAATTGCTGACGATAAGTGAAAAACATTTCTTTATGCGTTGGGAATCTTTGATGTGATTCTAGAATTATTACTCGAAAGTTTGGCATGTGTGGTGAACTTTTACGAAAACCTTCGTTGTGAAGATAAACATCAAAGTTAATGGCTAATGTTTCTACACCAGTAAGATCTGTGTTTTTCTCATCCTCCATCTCCTCATCGTAGTTTTTTAAGGTTACAATATCGAATTGTTCAAACTGTTCTTTAAATCGTTTATACTCATCTTCATCTTTGAGAAACTCCACCAGACTTTTTCGAAGAAAATTTGTGCCACAATAGCGACGTCTTTTTGCTTTACTCCAATTATCTTTTGTCATGTCATCAACATCATTATCGGCCTTTCTTTTTAGATTTGATTTCATGTTGCCATTAAAATGTACTTTAACATCATTTGTCTCGGTGTCAGCGGTGTCTTCTTTATTATTTTGATTTTTAATGTCACCGCGTATTTTATCAAACTGCTGCTTAACTTTGGCATAAAATGTTGATTTTTTCACATAATCCGGCACACTTTTATTTTGTAATTCCGCTTCTAATATGGCCCATGTACAATCTTTAGCAGTTTCTATTTGATATTTTGGAAAAATTATATTTTGATGTTTCACCAAAACATACCCAACTCGGGTGAAATGGGAATATACCAGATATTCACTATATTTGCTTGACTTATTTTCGCCTAATAACAGGATATATGCCTGCTCGATGCTTAGAATTCTTGAATTGTATTCCAATTGAAGACGATTCTGAAAAGAATAAAACAATTAAAAAGATCGTAGTTGGTAATTTTTGGATAAGTTGGTGGCGTAAAGACTCGCCCACTATTTTACTAGTTCATACAATCTTAGTGTTACTAGGGTCATTGACATTATTTTAAAATCGTATATATATATATATATATATATATATGTATATATTAGGGAAAACGCAGCCGCCTTTTTTATATAATATTAAATTGGACTATTAGTTTATAGCGTTTAAAAATTGATTTTTGCCCACCACAAAACTAACAACAATTATTTTTTATTTAATCAGTTTAAAAATTATATCTAGAATACTTTTAGAGGTATTTTAGAGGATTCGTTCTAGCCAGTTTTTCATAATTTACAGCCAAATTTCTCTTTTCCTTTATATTTCCTGAATTTACAATTCCTCACAATCCGAAGTTAAAAGTGAAAAATGTTTACAAAAAATATGGATCTATCTATAAAATCATCGGTTGCCCTCTTTTGAACTATCACGATTAGAAATTTACAGTGAATAAACTTTCATAACGTTCTTAATATAAAACCGTAAAGATACAAGTGCACAGGAATCCGAGATTCAGATTTCTATTAATTTATTTTAGAAAGCACTCTTAGCAAAGACAATCCAAAATTATGTCAAAACAAATCTGACAGACAAGATGCCGCTTTGTTCTTTGTCCTCCACATATCAGTGGGTATGGAAAACTTTGTATTTTTATGATTCTCTTATTTTCTAAAAAACCTGAACTTGATATGCGTAGGGAGCGTACCACATATTTTATATATTTTTATACCCTACACCACAAGTTGGTCAGGGTAATATGTCTTTGTGCATTTGTTTGTAACAGGCAAAAGGAAACGAGATAAATCCATAGTTTCTTTTGATGATCTGCATAGAATCACATTCCGAGTCGATTTATGCATGTCCGTCCTTGTATTTTTGTACAGGTCGCATTTATTGTCCGATCCAGATGAAATTGTGAAGAAATAATTTGCTAGAACCAAAATTTAGATACAGCTCCCATATACATCTCTGTCCGATTTGCCTTTTATTGTGCACCAAACGTGTAATATTATCCCAAATATTATGGAATTCTGTACATACGACCAGATTCGGCCTGAAAATAAGTATGCCAAATTTTATTGAAATCGTTTCAGATATAACTACATATGGGAGCTATATATTGTTCATCCGACTTGTTATTTTTGTCCTCCGCAGCCGTAATATGCACTCTGTAACAACGATATTTAGGGAAAAATACCAAATTCAACTCATAAATATCTTTGTTAAATTTTATCGAGATCGGTTCAGATTTCGATATAGCTCGATTTGAAGTTAATTGTGCACCAAATTGGTAATACAAGCCCGAATTGTAAAGGCACAAATTCTAATTCTCCCGAATTCCCCATAAAAACTTTCATTTGTTATGTGAAGCTCTACCAAATATGCAAAGTGGTGTAGGGTATCATAAAGTCCCCCCGCCGACTCAGTCTTTTATTTACTAGTTTTTTTAGTCCCTAGTGTTATCTTAGACTAGGGGCTTTGTCAACGAGTGTTTGTAAATATGATTAATTTTAATTTTTTTTATTTTATTAAAAGGCTATTTTCCCAAGCATTGAAATTTAGATTTCCTCTCGCAGGATTTAACCTCAAAACTTACCACTTCCAACAGAAACATTGCTTCATAATATTCCAAATAAAGTTTGCCGCCTTCACTAAAACCAAATGTACCGAATTTACCATCCTTGCGAACTATGCGCACAGCTTTGACTTCATTATCCCATTCGCCAACAGCTCGTCCACTTAAACGTTCTATGCGAGGCCGGGACAACTGTCTTTGCAGTTGGTCTATTAATATAAACATCGAATTAGAAAAAATATCATGTTTTGTCAGTTTTCACTTGCCATAGAGTATTTCTAACTCATGTTTTTCCTCTTCAGTGTTTTCCGGTAATGACCTTTTGAGGCCCATACTCATTCCATCGGCATCTACATTCCTTAGCTGTGTTAATTCTTCGGAACTACAAACCGTGTCAATTAAAAATGTTTTCAGTTCTTTTGTTTTCTTTAATTTACCTCAAATATGTAGTTTTGGGTTGAACGTGAAGGACATCTTGTGTGATTAGGTTCATTCTGGAGTAAGGAGCGGGCAAAATGAATGTAGACCTCCTTATTTACGAATGTGATGAAAGCAAAATGACAACATGAATGAATACACATTTGTTTACGAAAAAGACATGGGGAAACTAAGCTCACTGAACAGTCTGAACAGTGTTACCACCGGGCTATCAATAGATCGTGAATAGCAGCAAAAAAAATCAACCAGAATTGATACCAGGTAAAACTACTGATTAAATACAAGAGATGTCGCTGCATGTTCTTTAAAAAAATCGTAGTTTTTTATATGCGCTACGAATCTCTGGTTATAACACAATGGTATAAATTTGCTAAAAAATATTACGATGTACTAAGTTTGAGTCCAAGCAAAGCGACGAACTCAAACAATCCTGAAACGGATGTCATTCAAAGAAACCTAGGATTAAAACCCAGTATTTTGACGGACTCAAACAATCCTGAAACGGGTTTCATTCAAAGAAACATAGGATCAAAAACCCTTATTTTGAAGTGACTCGACTGTAGTTAAACTTTAAATAATAGGTAAACATGCACTAAAGTACACTAAAATTTGAATGAAAATTCCCTGAAATCACGCCAAAGAAATAAAACACATCCGAATTCGTTTTGTGCGAATGAAAATCTTTCGGATTTATTAATTAATTATAATTTAAGTCTATACTCGTTGCGTTTTCATTAAAATTTCATTAATCGTTATCGTACTCTCTAATAATACTCTAAAATAAAAATATTTTGTTTTTTTTATGTGTGTGTAGCTCTTGTTTCTTAACAATTTTCGATATTTTTGTACAAAAATGTGAAGTATTAGTTATTTGGGAGTAGTTTTTCATTTTCAATTTTTTCAATAAATATGTCTGTGTGTTACCAAAATAAAATACGTCCTGGTGCGGGTGATGTGCCTTTAGAAAAGAGTATTTCAGGAATTTCATCATTTGCAAAAGTGTCATTACTAAAAAAAATAGTAGGAGGTAGGAAGAAATGGAGGGAGTTTCGATTAAAAAATATATATTTGTTTTTGTATGGATAAAATTGTAACAATTGGCTTTTTTGTTTGTTTTTTTTTATAAATAAATTAATTATTTAATAATAAATAGAAAAAACGTAAGAGTACAAATACAATGTAAATTATGTATGTGTGTTGGGGTGTATGTAAGTATGTATTGCATGTATTGTTTTGAGCTTAAAATTAACACATTTGTTTAGAGAACAAATCTCAGTTTTAATAAAAATTATCTTTATAGACATCAAGTGGTGAAAAAATGTTGCTTTTCCTTTTCGTCGATGATGTTAGATGTAGAGCTGTAGACTTTCATCCCTTTGTTGGGTGTATTGGACATTGTACTATAGGACGAGCAACTCAAAGGACTTTGAGTCAAATACACTTCCGAATACTCTGAGACAGAACATATGCTAATGTTTGATGATTAAACGATAGACACACTCATTAACATTGCTAGTTACATCTAAACATGTTTAACGGCGCCGTATAAACAGGTAATTTCAAGAAATTTCTTTAGAAGAATTTAAGGTCTGTGAAAATAAAGAAATAAACGAAAAAAAGAAAGAAGTAAGGAATTAAATTAAAAACTTCTGAATTACAATTAAGAAAATTAAATAAACTAATAAGTATTTCAAACTAAGCTATAAAAAAATATAAAATAGATATATTTTTAGAGCCTATCATCAATTGAACTGTATAAAGCGTTGCTGAAAATTTCGTTTTGCTATTTATACACACACATGTATAATATCTATAGGTCCAATATACCAAGGAAGTATGCATATTCATTTGGAAAACGAAAAAAGGGCCCCAAAAGAAAAGGGAATAAATGAAAAATATTGAAGTCTAACATAGAACATTTCAATTGAAAATACTAAAGTTTATGGGTGGAAGGGAAAACAATATGCTTCAACACCTGCGTTTTTCCTAAATATTCAACAATTTTTATAATAAGTTTCTGTGCATGGCTTTACCGAGAGCAAATTTCTGGTTTAATTATAGATTTTGACAATTTCAACAGCATTTCCGATAGTCCCGAAAGTAATAGATATTTTTGAATATCTCCCTAATCATAAAGTATGGTGTAAAGCCGATATATTCTTATTATAGTCACATAAATGGTCTGAAACGGAAGATATAAAATCTGGTGTCTAATGTACCTCCAACTTTGATTCCAAATATAGTGGAGATTTATGGAACCTTCTGTGTGAAGTGCAAGTCCATCGAGTATCAAGGAAAGATTTTCGGCTTTTTCGTTGAAAGTTCTAGAAAGCTGAGCAGAGACTAGAGACCAGTAGTGGGATTATCTAACTAATTTTTTGAGTTACAGACAAAAATCGGTAACTTTCAAAGCCAAAATGTTGATATAAAAATCAGTAAAAAAAGTCTTAAAGTCGGGCGGGGCCGACTTTATGATACCCTATACCTCTTTGCATACTTAGTAGAGCTTCATATAGCAAATAAAAAGTAAAAAATATAACAAATCGGATGAACAATATATATGGGAACTATAGCTATATCAGAACCGATTTTCACCAAATGTAACATACTTGTTTCTATGCTCAATTTGGTCGTAAGTGTCAAATTCTATCCCATTTGGGCAAATATGACACGTTTGGTGCGCAATAAAAGTCAAATCGAATGAAGAAATATATCAGAGCTATATCGATCTCGATAAAATTTAGGAAAGGTATTTCTGTGCTGTATTTTATATATTTCCCCAAAAAATCGCAGTTACAGAGGGAATATTGCGTCTGCGGAGGACAAAAACATCAAATCTGAAGAACAATATATATGGGACCTATAGCTATATCTGAACCGATTTCGATCAAATTGGCGTACTTATGGTCGTATATGCAAAATTCCATACTATTTGGGTTGATATTACACAATTGGTGCCAAATAAAAGGTAAATCGGACGAATATATATATGGGAGCTACATCTAAACTTTAGCCGATTATCTCCAATTTCAATAGGTAGACTTGTGCAAAATTTCATCTGGATTAGTCAAAAAATGCGACCTGCCCGACGGTCAGACGGACGGACATGCATAAATCGACTCAGAGTGTGATTCAATGCAGATTATCAAAAGGAACTATAGTTTACCATCCCCTGTGATAACGCTTATAAGGATAAGGTGTCAAATTTTTAATATATTTTGGGTTTAAATCTTTATTTATCGAAATTGAACTTGCCCCTTCATCCGAAAAAGAAAGTGAGATAATATTACCTTTCCCTAAGTCGGTCTTTGGAAAAAAGATTTGTTTTGTTTGGAGAAATTAGAAATGCTCCGTAGACAGAAAGCTGAATTTGATTTCCAACCATTGGATTTTTAAGTAAAAATTTCAAGCACCTAGAAGTACAGCCAGGATTAAAGAATTGTCTACAAGTTATTGTTCATCAACCTGGGCAAAATGTTTATGACGAAATTTGTACGAGCACTTAACTCTAACACAACTGAAATCTAATCTATCTATCGGGGAGAATCGATAGACTCTGATTCGCATTTTTGGGAAAAATTAATGGTTTAAAAAATCAAATCATTGGCCCAAAGACGAACCCTATTGAAATTGGTGATAGTGGGATCAGATTTAGATATAGCTCCTATATATATCTTCAACCGCTTTCGGGTTAATTGTGCACCAAATGACCAATATCAGTCCCATATAAATGTTTCATCATTTGGCTTTAAAGTGCCTCACATTCGTAATATGCACTTCACGACAATAATCTTTGGTATCAAATACAGCCCAGAAATACCGATGCCAAATTTTATAAAGATTGCTTCAGATTTGGATATAGCTCCCATATAAATCTTCAACCGATATCCGGTTAATTCTGCACCAAATGGCCAATATCTTTCAAACAGTCCTGAATTTTGGCACATCCGACTGAATTCAGTCTAGAAGCAAGTACATCAAATTTGGACAAAATCGGTGCAGATATAGCTATAGCTCCCATATATATGTTTCATCCGATTTTGTATTTAAGACCCTCACATTCGTAATATGTATTCGACAACAATGATTTTTGGTACCAGATATCTTATAGAGCTCGGAAATATCTCTGTCAAATTTTATCAAGAAGCCAATATCTGTCAAAAAGTCCTGAATTTTGGTACATCTGACCGAATTTTGTCTAGAAGCAAGTACATTAAATTTAGAGATAATCGGTTCAGATATAGTTATAGTTCCCATATATATGTTTCATTCGATTTGGTTTAAGTCCCTCACATTCGTAATATGTATTCGACAACAATGATATTTGGTAATAGATATCTTATAGAGCTCAGAAATACCTTAGCCAAATTTCATCGATAACGGCTAAGATTTGGATATATCTCCCATATATCTCCTTAATCCGATTTCAGGTTTATTGTGCAAATAATGGCTAATACCAGCTTTAATGGAGAGAATTTAGGGACGTATGTTTCCATTTTGTGGAACACAGGTCCGATATATATTTTTTTAATATAATCCTTCTCGAAGGGTTATTTGGTATTGATATAAAATATTAAAATGTCTCCGCCAAATTTAATGAAAACTGATTCAGAATTGGATATGCCTCCTATATATTAGTTCCCTCTGAAGCCAAACTATAACCGCTCTAAAGACAAATGTTGATAGGTGGTATTTTCTACTTCAAATAAATGCTTTTGTTACGGGAGCTCTACTAAATATGCATAGTGATGTAGGGTATCATATAGTCGTTCCTGTCCGTCTTTTGACTTTTCCTTACTGGTTTTATTTGAGAATGAATAAAAAATCGTACCAGATTAGACATTTAAAAAATGTCATGGCCCAAAATTGAAGAACCTTTTTTGGAAGGCAAATGAGGACGAGAAGCATTCCAGATGAATTTACAAGTTTTTGACCTCCTAATCTTTAGCGATAAAATGGTCATTCTATTGTTAAAACACACTAAGCAAAGGTTTAATAGATGTCAATTTGAAAAAAAAAAAAAGTCTGAAAAGAAACTGTTTTGTCCATAGGCGATAGGTATATTTTCTTGTCTACACTTATTTGGCAAGTTCACCACTAAAGCATAAAAGCTATGGACCCGAATAAAACTCTCAGCAAATGTTAAAGAAACCTTTTTTCGGACTTGAACTGAATTATTTGTCAAAGTGCAGACGGAGGAATATGAATACCCTTCATTGGGTCTTGAGCAAATAGTTTGGGTTACTACATACTCTCTACCTTAAATTCATAATGACCTGTGAAGCGAGGAATACATATTTAACTGAGTAATGCATTTTTACTGGTATTGGCCTTTTTTCTAAGATATGTGTCATTATTAAGAATTATTAAATAATTTAGTAATAAAAATAAAATAAATAAACCTGGACATCATGCAACAAACAAATAACAAAATAACATCAAAAACAAAAACAACAAAACATAAAAAATAATAATAAATTATAAAGCAACATGGTTTGGGAGGCGCCATGGGTGGGACAAAGGACGAACGAACGACAAAATTTAACCGTGACATCTGTCAAATCTAACATTCCATTTTGAGGTCTCTCTATAACTTCAATCACTACAACATTTCGGGGAGGAGCCATAAAAATTACAACACAACACAGGTTTGAGGGTTTCTTTTGGTTTTAGAATTACACTTTTTATTAATAATAATTTCTTGTTTTTGTTTTGATTTGCTTTAAAGCCAATTATTAGCTTCTAATTTAATTTGTATTTGTATATTTTGTTTCTTAAGCATTTTTCCATCAACGAAAAATGTTGTACAATTAGTAACATTATTTAGTTTTTGTTTTTTTTTTGTTTTCAATATTTTACTTATATAAATTAATTTTAATTTAAAATTAATGAATTAGCATAGTTTTATATAAAAAAAATATATATAAAAATATATATGTTGAATGTATTTCCATGTGGGAACACACAAAACAAAAAATAAAACTTTTATGGTCAAGCATTAAGGTGGGGTTTTAAAATTTAAACAAAAAATTACAAATTGTTTTAAAAATTTGTTTGTTCTTTTGACTAAAACGGGACGGTTTGGAAATATTTTATTTTTTAATTAACACATGAACTTGAAAGGGCCAAATGTTATGATGTGGACCGATAAAATTGAAGTGTTAAAATCTCTTTAGCTGCTATATTCCATTATACAAATGGCTCAAGAAATAGATAATCTATAGCATATTTTTAAGCGAATCATTAATTACTCTACAACAGTGATTTAAGTTGGGGTCAAATTCTCAAATTTCAACTGAAATGAATTTGTTAGGCCTATTTTAGATTGATGAAAATTTTAATATAAACAACTTAAATTATTTATCTAGTTGTTTCTAAAGAAAGTTTCAATTTCATCCTATTAATATGTACATAATAAAATTCATATCGATCAAAATGACTGCCAGACTTTGGATCCCCTTAAGAACATTGTTCCTTCCCTTTATGAGACAAAATAATATTTTTTCTGTTTAAGCGGCGGCTTTAAAGTTCATGTGTTTTTTGTTACCTATGAAATAATTATTTTAAAAAACTCAAAAAATAAACGAGGAAATTAGGTCACAGGTGAAAAAATGTACAAAGTTTTAAACACAATTTCGAACAAACAGAAAAACGTATATAAAAACAACAAACAGTCAATAAATTTTAAATTCTATGCAATTTAAAATTTAATATTTTTTTGTTTTTTTTTCTGTGTGTTAATTATTTGATTTTTTTTAATAAATATCTGTTCTTAAATGAAAAATTCGTTGAGAAAGAAATTTCAAAAACTCTTGTTCGATAAATAATAAATGTTGTGTGATTATTGGTAGTTATCTTTTAAAACTAATCACAAGGCAAATAGATTTGATCGGTTGTTTATTTTTTTACTTGAACGCCTGGGAAGGTAATGTGGTTGTTTTGGTGGTGCTAAAGGCAGTTGATAAGTTTTTTTAGGTTTTTAGTCGCTTTAAATTCAGTTTAAATATTGTTTAGATAACACATTTGAGTGGTAGTTATTGAAATTACAGTAGAGTAGAGTAGTGAAGATGTTAAACCATAACCTCAATTTGTTTTTGGGCATATCTTATTCTGCAGAGATTAGAACCGAAAAGTAAGCACAGTTTTAGATGTTTTTGTAGTTTCAGTTATTTTTTTTTAAGAAATGGAATGCATTTTTTGGGGCACAAGGGGATCATAGGGAGCGATGTTAATAATAGCGTTTAATGAGATTCGCAATTTGTTGGATTTTACATGGAATTCTTGTAAAATCAGGCACTTTTCTTTTGTACTATTTTATGCGTGTGTGTATATATAAATGATTAATACTACTATTTTATTTCCTGGGGAAACTAAGGCCATGTTGGTATATTGCAAAACATGTTGTCATTTAGCTAATAGAGTGTATTCAATATATTGTTATTGAAAAATTTTTAATAATTGGGAAAGATTAATTCGAATGGCATTATTTATGTGTATTCATACTGGGTTTGCTAAACTGGCACCGGAATCAAACAAATTGGTCAGTATCCGCTTTGAATTGATAAACAAATTTATGAAGAAAAAAATTTTTTCGAAAGAATATGTGTTTGCTTTCCCAAAAATATACAGGCTTTAAGCAATAGTTTCCTTTTCCAATTAATGTTAAGGAGGAACTAATTACAGAACTGAAACATATTTATTGGTTCAGTCAATTAAAGATTTTTTGCTTATTATTTAAACACAGTATTAGATTTACTGTCTGGTTTTGTAGAAACAAAATTCTCAAGATAATTTTATTCCGAGAGTCCGAGCTATCTCGATGTCATTCGTATACCTCGGAGACATTACACGAAAATGAGCCATTAAATGGTAAACTAATTTAAATAGTTTTCTTTTAGTCCTCCCAACATGAAGTTAATGCAGTTTTGGTAAGGAAAATACACATGGATGGAGACACATGAACTGGTTGGGCAATGAGAACAGGACGAACAAAATGTCCTTGCAAATAGGACTAGAACACAAATGTGAATAATGCTACAGTATGTTTTATTAAATAATATGGCGTTTTAAGCAGATGCTGTTACAAATCAATATATGTATGTAATGAGTTAATGAGGTAGGAGAGGGACATTTTTAACGCTTGCTGTTTTTGTTTTTGGATATTTTGTGTCATTTTGTTCTTGCTGTATTCAATTAAATTATGATGCTTACTTTTTGATGAGCGATCGAACTTTTTTAATTGTTCGATTGAATATGGTTTTATTGTTGTCTCCCGCCGCTGCCGCTGCCGTTGGTGTTGTGCCCGATTTCGTGGGTGTTGAACCTAATGAACTGCTGGATGTAGTTTTGGGTACACGACTTGCCCCATTACCTCGATGTACATGAGCTGCTGCCCTGGTCTGACTTTTGTTGGCGGCATTTGTTTTCGCCGCAACTGGTACAGGTGGTGCAGGGCTAGATTTTGTCGATTGACAACTCTTCACACTCTGGCTATCCTCATGCTCGTCCTCTGCCGAGCTAATGCCTTCGGGACTCTGTCTATTTGAGGGACTTTGCCGCAGAGCAGTGACACGGTCCGGTGTTAGGGATTTAGAGTCCCGCACCGAGGCAGAACGCATGGGCAGCGAATGAATTGCTCCATTTATTACATTTGTGGAGCGCATTGGCTCCGGCGTTTGAGGTGTGGCAAGATTTTGCATACTCTGTGTACCATCGGTGGGTGATGGTGGCACTACAATTGCTGCAAGAGTTTGTTCGTCCAGAAAATGATCGAGACTGCGTGATTTACGATGCTGAGGATTAATGGGAGGAAGATGGGCAGATTTGTCGCGTCGTGAAACATTAGCGCTGACATCATTCTCAACTAAATCATCGGTAGATACCGAGTAATCTTCATTGGGCTGAAGAGTACTGGTGGAGCTGGCATTGGTCAATGCCATGCTGCCCGCTGAGACTATAGCTGCTGCTTCAGCTATTTTACGTTCACTACTCTCACTACTATCCAGCAGGCCATCAACACTGTGACTCCGGTAGTTGGTAGCTGGCGGCTTAGAATCGCCCGAATCATTGCAAATGCCCACCGCCGAGCTGCGACGCGGAGGTTTATAGGCCAATGGTGAGACATTCTGCATTGAACCACCCATAACCAAGGGCTTTTGGGCCGAAGTCGGTTGTGTTCTGTAGGGTGGGAACATATTCCTCTTGGAACCGCGACCAAACACACTCAGCTGGCTGCCGGTACTACCCAGTTTGCCTGTGCTGCTTATCATACTGCCGCCGCCGCCTCCTGGACCCAATCGCTGACGAGCCGGTGATGCCGATTGCCGATATCTATTTGCCTGGTGACTAGCTGCTAGTTTGTGATTAGTTTGATTAATTAATTGATTATTATCATTATCATCATCATCATTATGGTTATCATTATTATGGTTTAGGTTATTGAGTAAATGTAAGGCTTTTGAATTTTGACTAAGATAACTACTACAGCTACTGAGGTTGCTGCTGCTGCTGCTGTCACTGAGGTAACAACAACTGCCACTGTGGCTACGCTTCAATGCCAATTGGCCTTTCAATAATTTCGACTTCAATTTAGATCTCAGTATGGATGATGGAGAATTCGAAAGAGTTTTGAAATGTTTCTTGCTATGACTATTGTTGATGTTGTTGCTACTATTACTAATGTAACTACTAAGGCTAACATTATTACAATTAATATTATCAATAATATTCGAAATAGAAGGAGAAGAACCAAAAGAAGAGGAAGGAGAGGTATAGGTAGTTAAAGTAGTGGGATAGTGTAAAGAACCAAATGATGGTAGGAAAGTAGTACAAGTACTAGTAGTAGTAGTTGTGGTATTGGTGGTAGTGGTCTGAGAATTAATAGAATTATCATTTTTTGTTTCAAATCTTTGCGAGTTTAAACAATCCAGTCAATCGACACTGGATCGTCCTGTATTTGAGGATGCTGTAGTTGTGATCGAATTTTGTACCCCACCTTGTCCGCCGCCATTAACCGATGATCCACTGTTGCCGCCACTGCCGCCACAATTACTGCCACCCGCATTGCTGCCCGCCACACTATAGTCGGAATCGTTGCTGTGCATTCTTTGGTATGTTACCGTCGAACTGGGCGTGCCCGGTGTCATTGCAGCTATGCGATCAATATTCTTTTCGCCGCGCATAAACCTAAATCGAAAATCGAATCGAGAAAAACCGTGATTGTGTGATTACTATTTGTACGCTACGTGGTATGGGGCGTGAGCTCATGAGTTGACAACGAACCTCTCTAATTTATCGATACAGGCATCTTGATAGTCATGTATCCAGGTGACACCATTAAAATGACAAACGCTGCGCATATCCTCGGGCAGTCTCTCCGACTCGGGCCAACTGAATTGATTATCAATAATTGGTATAATATTGCAATTTGAATTTAGAGCAGCAACAATTTCCTGGAAAAAATAAAATGGGAGAAAATTGAAAAATTAGTGAAAATTTGAAAATGGTGAAGACAATTTTAAAATCGAATTTACTAAAAGGTTAATTATATCTAACAATAATCTTAATTATGCTATATTTTAAAATGTGATATATTTTAAATGCAGCGGTAGGGGATGTGAGTACTTTAAATTTCAAGGGTTATGGATATTTGAAAATACTTTTGTAAAAACACTCTGTTTTCGAATAAATTTTCAGTAGGACTCATAATTGTTTAATGGGATGTCTTTGGAAAGTAACTGGATTATTATTAGAAGACTAAAAGTGAATTTTAATTGACTTTTTTTTGGATGTCTGGTAGATAGAGGTATTTTGATTGCCATCAGAGACATTATGAAAGATTTTAAAGATTTTGTAATCGTGAGTTTTAATTAAATTTTTTCACTCACTAGAGATTTATTGGCGAAGATTTCTTATCGTGGAATTAAATGGCTAATTTTTGGCAGGGCCATTCATTTTATAACCGTGGATGTCAATGAAATATTTTAGGATGAACATAATAGTAAATTTTAATTGAATAAAATGAACTATAACCTAATTTTTATTTTAGACCCTAGGTCCCTTAGTACCAAATCCGTACGATAACTCTTGAAGGGAGTGTCCGATTTGATCCAAACTTGGTACATCGTAATAATATTGTCAAACTTAGATCGATTTCGGAGATGGACAATATCGGTCCACTCCTTTTGGTACCTTTCCTCCCCCACAAAATGTCAACATTTTCAAAGAAAATAATTTACTGCACAGAAAGGGAATGGATAACATCCGTCCACTCCATCCAGTACCTACCCATAAAGGGTTAAATTTTTGAATAATTATAAATCTTATAAAATGTGATGTAAGTGTCCAACTGTCTTCAAATTACACAAATCACAATATTTTTATTAGCCCAAGGTCTGGTGTGAAGATGGAATATATCGGTCAACTCCTTCTGGTACCTCCCCCACAAAGGGTCAACATTTTGAATATTCATGAAGCTTATAAAACGTGAAATTAACATCCGATTCCAATCAGCCTTGGTACATCTCAATATTTCCATCAACAGTTATAAAGATGATATAGATCGGACCATTCCTTATTGTACCTCCCCCACAAAAGGTCAAAATTTTGAATAACCAAAACTATTATAAAATACGAAGTAAGCATCCGGTTCACTTCAAATTACATATATCAAAATATTTTTAGTAACACAAGGTCTGGTATGAGGATGGGATGCATCGGTCCACTCCTTCTGGTACCTCCCCCACAAAGGGTCAACATTTTGAGTAATCATGAAGGTCATAAAACGCGAAATTAACACCCAATTCCATTCAGTCTTGATACATTTCAATATTATCATCGACACAAGATCTGATATAAAAATGGTAGAGATCGGACAATTTCTTCTTGTTTTTAATGAGACATTTTTAAATGGTTTACAACTTTTTTGTTGCGGATTTTAAAGGAATACTTTATGAAGAATAATATGGTAATAAAAGCGTGAAATAGTGAACTATTAGGACAAATTTTTTCAATACAGAACTTGAATTACAAAATCTCCAACGAATGGCGAATGCAACAATTTTTGGTTGAAATCGGTTCGAAATACTGTATCTATCCTACTCAATGTTAATATTTTAAGAATCAGAACGTGACTTTACCGCGCTGATTTGGTAAAATAAAAAGCCGATGCATAATATTAACAACTTAAAGTTTCGTTGGTATTGTCCAACTTCTACTTTGCTTCCTGTTTCTTACAAAATAATTTAGAAATCTAACATCTACCTTCGTATATCTCGCGGATGTTTTCATGAAAATTGGTTTTGGAAGCATAACCTGATAACCTTGAAACTTTTAACTTATAACTAAATATTATTATTACAGCTGACTTTTCAAAGTCGAACTTACGCGATGCACCCAATCCTTGCATTCATTATCGTCGACACAACGTTCGAGGGCATTTGGTGTTAATACTAAAACGAAATTTTTCGCTTGACGAATACTGTTTAGCAAACCATTATCGAATTTGCCAGCCTCCAAACGTTCAACATCAATGAACACCGAGAAGCCGCGCAATTGCAGATGGACCTAGGGATGAAAAACAAACACCAATTAGATCATACGTTCACAACATTTCAACCACAAATCGTACTCACCTTAAGCAAACTAGCCAATTGCGAACCATTGGAACGTCTATAACTGACAAACACATCCAATGTCTTGGCCATACTGTCCTCAGAGGCACTCGATAAAGTATTTTCCAAACTTTTGACTGCGTTCAGAATCCTTAGGCGATGTATTGAGTTGGTGATGTTGCATTCCTGTATTAGCATATCCTCATTGAGGTGGGGCAGAGAATTCTTGTCAATGCCCGCATTTAACATTGAGTAGGTATAGGTACAATATTCCGGACCGATTTCAGCCAAAAATTGATGCAATTTTGCCGTGTCCTTGGACGAGTAATCAGCCATTCGTTTGAGATTTTGTAATTCACGTTCGAAACGTTTCAATAGAATGCCATTCATAATGCCGATGTCATCGCGCAGATTCTTGTCGGTTAATTTCAAGAGTAAATCACCATCCACCTGGGATTCCTCAAACTGCTTAACACATTGACCAAAACCAATTTGTTTCACCCACTCTTGGACATCTTCGACAGACCACAGTGGCACCTGTTGTGACAGTTTGTGGGGTACCGTTTCTCCGATCAGGCGCAAAGCTTGAGCGGCAAACTTGGAGGCTATGGCATTTGGACAACTCGCCACAGTTTTGAGGGCTTCAATGGCGCCAATTTCCCGGAAAATCTCGGTGTTTCCCTGTTCACGTTTTATGCCAGCTTCCATACAGAAATGAAAAGCTGCCAAGCTGCGTGCCTCCTCACGATTCGAACTTAAAACTGGAACTAAACGCTGCAGCCAATGTTTGCTTTGACCATGGGCATGGGCCAAATTCGACTTGGCAAACTCTGAGGGGTCGTGCGAGGTAACGAACGGCTCAACCAAATCCAAACAACCGGATTTCAAGACCTCAGCTTCGATTTCCTTGTTGGCGACTAGAACAGCAATTGCCAGACAGGCATAATACTTGATGTTATCGTCATTGTGGAAGGCCAGGGGGAACAACCACATGGGTACTTTACGCAGGATCATGGCTTCTTGATTTTCAGCTCCACCATACAGTGACAAATTGGCCAAGGCACTGGCGCAATGTCTCAGCGTTTCCACGTCACTGGTACGACATTCGAAGAGTACAGCATCCAAACCGCCCAGCTTAATGACATCCGAACATGTGCCCTCCGAGTGTTTGAAGAGATGTTCCAAAATGCCAGTACCCACACGTGAGTGTTCGGTGCTCTGATTTTTGGTGCAAACACAGGCCACATTTACCACCTTGTCGAGGCCATTTTCCACAACATGGGTGCGATTTTCGGTGGTCAAACATTGCTCCAGCAACTTGGCTGAGGAGAATTTGATGCGCATATCACTTTGGACACAGTTGCGCATCAATAGATCCAGACCACCACTGCTGCGCAAGGAGTTACACAAACTATAGCCCAGTTCATGACCGTGGGTGGGTACGGCCCAAGCTCGACGTATGACCTCATTGATTTTATCCAAAAACAATGTGGCCTCCGAATCGGCCTTCTTCTCTTGCAGGGTGCTAACACAGTTGGTTAACATGTTCGAGTACTTGCTGATGGCCTGTTCGATTTCCCTTTGGCCACTATTGGCGGACAGGGACATCAAATCATCGATCTTAAAATCGGCCAGTTTAAAGAAGCTGCCATTCGTTGTGGACATTTGTGAGGAGGAGGAGATCATGGTACTGCCGCCAGAGCTGCTGACACCTTTGCTGGTCATGGTATAGTTGGCCTGGGCGGCGGATGACATGTGTTTCTCTTGGCTGATGATGCCGTTGGAGGTCATCGTTTGGGACTGTTGGGATTGGGAGATGGCTTTCTTGTCGGCAGAGAAGGTGTCACTTTGTACCTTAATACTAGCGGCGGCCACATTGTTGCTGGCCTGTTGGGTAATATCACCGGTGCGCAGGGAGAGTGCTTCCTGAAAAAAGGGAGAAAAGGGAAAGAAACGCCATTAAAAAAGGATTCAATTGAAAAGAAAAAAGAAATTATTTTTGGAAAACAAAGAGAGTATATAAGAGAGGGAGAGGTGGTGGGTGATAGGTTCATTCGAGTACAATAAACATAGAGTGGTGGTGCTATTGGCCTAATTTTCCGTTTTTGTTGTTGTTGTTTACATCATGAAATTCTAACCTTATTTTGTTCGACCTCTATGGGTATTTCTCGAACATTTTTTAGCGGTTTTGGTGGAGTTGGTGATTTTATGGCATTATGATTTATGTGTTGTTGTTGTTGTTGGTGGTGGTGATGTGTAGAGGAGTGACTGCTGTTGTTGTTGAGAGAGGGACTGGATTCTTTACGTACAGAAGTGCGTGAGGCACTACTGCTGCTGCTCGAAGAGGTTGCCGATTGTGACATACGCGCGGATGCAGATGAGGCAGACGACGAAGACGCGGTGGCAGTGGCGGCAGTGCTACTACTTGTGGCGGCGGACTGGGACATTCTTCGTTGACCTGCTGCGGACGAGGCGGACGACGACGACGAAGCAGATGATGACTGGGCACTTTTTGAACTTGCAGTTAGGGTGGCGGACGATGTGACTGCAGGTCCAGGAGGCCCCAGTATGACTTGTACAGGCTGTGGCGGGGGCGAAAGTGGGCAATTATTATCGAAACGACTTAACGACGAAGCGCGACTATTACTCGCAACCGGTGGCGGTGACAAGGGCATTTCTACAATGGGACTTGGCGATCGCGTGGGTATGAAATCGGATTGCCCACTGGAGCGAAATATGCCCTTGCGTACTGGCCAGGGTGCTTGATTGTTCATGTCGGTGCTGTTAGGCTGTCTATGTTGATGATTTGAATTTTGAATGTTCCCAATTTTGTCGAAATGCAAGAAAACTATTCAGGCTGTTTTAAAGGAGGAGGCGAGGCGATTTTTTATTATTGCAATTCCAATGTGGAATGGAAGCAAATATTAGCACAAAACTCACACACACACATACAATCACGCGTACATAAACTTATGGATAATATTATGCAAAGTATATGTCTTTAAATTTTAATTGGGAAACGAGTAAAACAAATGTGGCGGACACTTATTAGGCACATGGGCAGGCTCAGTTTTTTGCAAAAAAAAAACGATATAAAAACAAAAGTGACGTCATAACGTATTAGGCGGACATAGATTTATGGCAATTTTGACCAAAAAAAAAAAAATAATAATAGAGAAAACGTAACATTTTTCAATGTCAAACTGAAAACGCAACAACGCGCCGAAAATTTTTTGAAATTCAATTTCAATGGTTGGCAATCAACTGAAAATCCCATAACAACGGGGAGAGAGAGAGAGATGCTCTCAGAATACCCAGCTAATAATAAATATAAGTTTTGGACACATTGTTGGATCGTCCGAAAAATGATGAGGCATAATTCGCATTCGAGAAACGGTTGATGCTGTTGACTTTCGCAAAGATGCTCTAAAAGCATCAACAAAAATCATTTTCCTTTCAAACGTCATGGAAGCTCTGGCCTAGACAAGCGGAACATTGCTTGGGTGTTGAAAATTAAAAACATTAATTTAATAAGGAACAACACGACCTGTTCAGCAAATAAAATTAAATTTTTAAAAACACAAAACAAAAATGAATTTCTGCCTTTGAAAGCAAAAAAGAAAAAATGTTTTCGTCTTTCTTTTCAAACAAATTAAATGAAATTTTGCTTTTGTTTAATTGCTTTTTATTTTCAAATATTGTGAAGAAACATTTTTAGAAGTGATTGTATATATGAAAATATTTGGTGAAAAACGTATTATTAGTCTCGCGCTTTCATTCGGATATTTTGTCAGACAGATTGGGTGGGAGTGTGTTAAGAAGAAGAAGAGGCATAATGAGTGCACACTATGTTCACATCCTCTACCACTATATGGAGAGTATATTAACTTTAACATTCCGTCTGCAACAACGTGAAGAAGTCGTTGAAGATCAAACAAAGTATATATAACTGTGATCAGTAATCTATTTGAAGGTGATTTAAAGATTCGTCTGTTTGTCGTAAATGGTCGCAATATTTAAGATAAGTTATTAAATTCGGAATAGACGTTTGTAGCATTCCTACGATTTTTATACCCTACACCACATAGTGGTAAGGGTATAATGTCTTTGTGCATTTCTTTGTAACATGGAGAAGGAAGCGAGATAGACCATATATACTCTTGAGGATCTTCATAGAATCGCTTTGTAAGTCCGTCTGTCTTTCCATGGATTTTTGTGAACAAAATACAGGCAGCATTTGTTATCCGGTTGAGATGAAATTTTCCAAACAATATGTGTTTGGCCCAAGGACGAACCCTATTGAAATTGGTGAGAATCGGTTCAAAATTAGATATAGCTCCCATTAATATCTTCAACCGATTTCGGGTTAATTGTGCACCAAATGACCAATATCAGTCCTAATTACCTGCATTTTGGCACATCCGGCCGAATTAAGTCTAGAAGCAAGTACATCGAATTTGGAGAAAATCGGTTTAGCTATAGCTACAGCTCCCATAAAGATGTTTCAACCGATTTGGGAGGTTTAAGTCCCTCACATGCGTAATATGCACTCCACAACAATGATACTTAGTACTAGATAACTTACAGAGCTCAAAAATACCTGCGTCAAATTTTATCGAGATCGGATCAGTTTGGGATATAGCTCCCATATATATCTTTAATCGATTTAGGTTTTTTGTGCACCAAATGGCTAATATAAGTCCAAAGTACCTTACCGACCGAATTCAGCCAAGAAGCAAGTACATGAAATGTGGTGAAAATCGGTTCAAATTTAGCTTTAGTTCCCATACCTAAGTTTTATCCAGTTTGGGAGTTTAAGTCCCTCACATGCGTAATATGAACTCCAGATATGGTACCAGATATCAGATGCAGCTTAGAAATAAGTGTTTAAAATTTTTGTCAAGATCGGTTAAGATTTGGATATAGCTTTTATATATATCATTACCCCATTTCAGGTTTTTCGTGCACAAAATGGCAAATACCAGCCCAAATGGACTGGATTTTGGCACATCCGACCGAATTCAGTCTAGAAGCAAGTGCTTCAACTTTTTGGTGAAAATCGGTTCAGATATCATCATCACAGATCTTGCGTTAGTAAAAATATTTGGATGTGTGAAATTTGAAGAGAGTTGGCTGCTGATATCGCTTTCTTTGAGCGTTTTGTTTTTCAAAAATATTGAACCCTACGTCGGGGAGGTACCAGAAGAAATAGTCTGATCTGTACCATCTTTATAACAGATCTTGTGTTGATGGAAATATTGAGATGTGTCAAGTCTGAATGGGATCGGATGTTAATTTCGCGTTTTATGAGCCTCACGGGTACTCAACATTTTGAGACTTTGTGGGGGAGGTACTGGATAGAGTTTGTTTGGAGTTTATGGAAAATTGTTTTAACAACAATTTAATTTTTTGCTTTTTTTAATAAATTCTTTCTTTAAATACCCTTCATTAGAAACCTTATAGATGATATAATTGAATATTTCCCATTATTTATAATGTAGGGTATTTCAAACAATAAAATTTATTTCTTGGAACCAAAATCGCACATGTGTACGTACATACATTTATATTTGGGTAATAAATGCAAGTTTATATTTGCTACTTGTTTATTTTTCCAACTAATGCAAAACAAAATGAAAACAATGAAAGCCGGGAGATGATGTAGTGAAATATGTATTTGCTTTAAATTAATCAATAACCTCTGAACTGACGATTGAAATTTAAATATAAAAACTATTAATTTAATGGAAGAATATAACTCATCTACTAAAAATAATGAAATAATGTCACACATAGACTATGTAACAATACTGTATGTAACAGACTCTAAGATATGCTCAACCTGAAGAAGATTAATTTTACTGGTAAAACTGTTAGAACATTTGTTGGAAGATCGTCTGAGATCATGAATGTGCCAAAAATATTACAACTTTAATTGATGATTAGCTTTTACAGAACTTCAGAGGCCACAAGTGTTGTTTGCAGAAAATATTACAAATAATTCAAAGACATTTAAGGGAAAGAGTTAAGAAGCTATAATTGTGGATCTTTTTAAGAATATTAATTGATAGACTTAAGGAGCAGTAATTATGGAGTTTCGAACAACAACAGGGATTGTCTAAAAGTATGCTATAAAAATGATAGAGATAAATGTGAAAAAAGTCAATATACATATGACACCGACATTATGTGTAAAATGGTATACATCGAAGTGTAGTGAAATAACTAAATGAGAATGGACGTTCAGACGAAACGGCCGTGATTCGAATCTTGACATTTTGCACGAGGGTCAGTCTTGTTGCGCTGGCGTGTGGTAAGGCTGGGTTTTTGGAAATACGTACTGAAATTGTAGAAAAAGTATTAAAATGTACTAAAAATTTAATGCCTTGTACTGGACAAACGAAATTTGGAATAAGAGTTATTGATGGAATGCAGGATAGATGTATCAAAGAGTTTTTGGAAATTCGAATTTTAAGGTTACGAATAGTTCTGTTACTCAACTTCTAAAATGGTACCATTTGGTATTATGTAAACTAAAACTATAAAATTCGGGATGAAAATCAAATTAGGAAAGTAGGTATCCCTTCAACCAATACTAAATTTAGTAACATTTAGTACGCATATCCAAAACAATCTACATCTCTCCATCCTAGACACCAACAGTGATCCAAAATTTGTACCATTTAATACTTTCCGAACATAGTACTCATTTGAAAATGTCCAGCTCTATCCCTTCACCTAATACTACACTTATTAACATTTAGTATAATTATAGTACGCATATCCAAAACCAGTTCCTACTCTCAAAAACAGACACCAACTTTGACATTTAAAAAAAACTATAGAACACATTACCAAAAACTCCGCAATATCTCAATCTCATCTCTCTTATGTTACTAAATTTAGTATTGGTTGAAGGGATACAG